TCCATTTACAGAAGCACTTCTTAAGAAAAGACAATGGGATCCTGACAGCTCACTGAGTCATCACTGCAAATTTTTTTTGCATTAACAGCTTATTACCTAGAAGGCTGGCAGAGAAGAGGAGTCTGGAGAAAATGAGAATTCAAAGAAGCTTGACCCCTTGATAGTTTAGCTGGCACAAAATTGTGCCTGCACAGAAATGTACCATGTCAGTACTGACAAGAAGGAAGAAATGGGATTTCTAGATATATGATGTAATGGAGAATGTAAGGCGAATGATGGTCAAAAGTAAAGCATTAACGAGCAGGGGTTTTGAAGATAATAATAATAGACCTAAAGAAAAGGTGTGCACTGCAACATTTACAGCTTCTGGGATACCACACGCACAGAATATCACACTTCCATTCTCTGGCAGTGATTTATTGTTCCTCCTAGGCTACAATACAATTCATCAGGGAGTGAGAAAAACTCCTGGAAGTTAACAAGTCTTTCACTTCACTGAGAAGCCAGTCAAAGACCATGAAATGCAGCAATTTCCTCTCCCATTTCATAAAGGCAATTTCTATTATTTTCAATACTCGCTGCCAGAAGAGCTAATCAGAGGTCTATTTTTAAATGTATGTCACTTCTTTGTTAAGTCATTACTGGAGTTCTTACGATAGGTAAACCATTGGTCCAGATCCTCATTTGCTGAAAATAAGTATAAAGTTATGGACTTCTTCTAGGTTTTGCTCAGTTTATTTGCACAGCTGGTGTAATTTTCAGATGGCAACTAAAAATCACGACAGCCAAAAAAAAAGGAAAAGAGCAAAGTTCGGTGGCAACAGGACCTGGGTGTTTATTATGGAGAAGTAGGATGAAGCTGTTTTCCCTGCTTCACTGCTGAAAAGAAGAAACATTCTTATCTCCAGAGATGGCTCTGCAGCAGAGCAGAAAGAGACCCTTGGGGTTCTCTCTGTGCTTGTGCGGGTCCTAGAAGAGAAGCATGGTAGGCCAACCAGTAAACTCTCACAGGACCAGAAATTCACCATTCCTGCTTTATTGGAAAAAACAATAAGGTGAGTATGTGTGGTTGGATGGCTGTGGGTGAATAAAGATTGGGAGAATTATTTTTATGGACCAGAACACTCCAAACCCCCAAGGATTCAGACCCTTAAAAAGGAGCTTCCCCAAGAAGCATAATAGATTATGACTATACTGTACATGTGGTTGCTATTATGTGCTGTCAAGTCAGAACTGACTTATGGTGACCCGTGAGGAATTTAATGAGTGATTTTGCCAGTTCCAGCACCCAGTGAGTTTCCATTGCAGAACCAGGGAATCGAGCCCAAGTCTTCTGAGTCCTAGTCCACTACACCACACTGGGTACTCCATGAATAAATGTGCACATACTATATGTTTTGCCTTTTTTCTATGTATTATTTATCTGACTGTAAGAAATCATATTTCACTTTTTTCTCTATCAGACATCTCCCGTGTGCTGGAGAAGCACAGGCTACCAAAACTATTTATAGCTGTAAGGGGAAAAAAAATTAAGTCCTTGAGCCATACTCCCCTTTTCTCTTTGATATCACACTCTGCATCTGTTTTTCACTCCATTCATTCATGAGCTAAATATCATAAAACAACAGCACCAACAATGGGTGGATTTCAGAGATGACAAAATAGAGGAAGTAAAAGGTAAACCAAGAAGTACTTGGTTCAAATATTTCTGACCTAATCTACCAATGTGGCTTTAGGCAGGCCATAATCTCTCAGCCTCAACCTTCTACCTTTAAAATGGGAATAATAGCTGACCTGCTTTCACAGAGTTACTGAAAGAATTACTGAAATAATGTATGTGAAATGTTCTGAAACATTCTAAAAGGCTCTAGAAATGGCAGGTGTTATTGCTACATATTCTGCAATATCTACATACAGCACCTCTTAAAGCACCTGTTACACTACAATTATGAAGACTACTTGCTTAATTCTTTGTTCTCAGTGATTTAGGCTGCCTCAACTCGAAGAGGCATCTCGAAGAATTTTCAAGCCCCACAGGATTCTTCACCTCCAGCCAAGATTGAAACAAAGATCACTGTTTTCTTCCTTCAGGGTCTCTGCAACCTGCGCAAACCGTCACTCTGTAAAACTAGTGTCCTTTCCTTTAAAGAGCAAAGCATACCCTAACAGCAAACACAGAGCGATCACCTGGTTGTTCATGAAACACAAACACATCATCCTTAAATGCTTCTAATCTTTAAAGTGTTATGTAACAAAGCAGCTAACACTGTCATTTGTGTACTGTAATTTGTTTTATTCTTGTTAAAGTGCTATTTATGTTTGCTATTTACACAATTTTGCTTTATTTCCACACACAGGCGCACGCACACATGCACACACACAAAGAGTTCTCATTTTCTTCTCTCACTCAGAGCTCCACAAAATGCCCTGCCCCCCTGAAATATTTTTGTGGTTCCTCATCTTTGTGGATAAGGGTGAAACAAGTAGATATTTAAATCCCACATTAAGCTCACCACCATTAAGCTCACTGAGTGGCTAAAATGTGGACTAAACCCAGTCTTGCCAGCACAGCCATAGGAGACTATTCTGACTACCTGATTATGGGGGTGGGGGAAAGAGAAAAAAATGGGAGAGAGAGAGAGAAAAGAGAGTAGCATTCAAAATCTGAATATAGAAAAAAACAGGCAGGAGGCTTCTGGCTGAATCACTGTGCTCTAGATATCCTGTTGTTTTGTGTTTCGGATTAATTACTTCTTGCTGTGTGCTTGATTTTGCACTACTTTAAAATGTGCTTCGTTTCACATCAGTAAATGAACAGATATTACAAAAATGCTAATCTTCACTACCAGTTTCTCACCCAAATGAAACAGACCCTAAAAAGTTGCCTGAGAACTGTGGGTGATGCTCAGTCATGTGTAGCTTTCCTGAGTGAGTTTCCCTCTTCCTTTTACTCTCCCAACAAAAATCCAGTTACAGTGTCAATAATTTGAAGCAGAAAACCTCTGTCTTCTGGGAACTGAATCCCACCCCTGATACCATCTGTCTTCAATCACTTTATGAAAAGCAGTGTATTCCCATCTCCAGGAAAAACAGTTCTGGGTAGTCTTCAGTAAAGAAACAACAACAATGGAAATGAAAAAGCCCTTCCATCTACCCTCCCTTAGAGCCTCTGCAGTGGCATTTGATGAGATCAAACAAAATCAGAAGCAAAACCAGAAATGGCTTAGTACCACATGTATGTTGGCTCTTAAACTCATCTGGAGGGACAGCAGAATAGAAAACAAAACCTTCTACAGATATATATTCTCTGATCCCAAACAGTACTGATTTCTAGAGCTGGGATGAGAAATGCGTGTCCCTCAATATGTTGTTGGATCATAACTCCTGTTTTCCCCCACCGATGACTATTTTTGTTAGGACTGATGAGAGCTGTTGAACCATGAACATACTGGAGACCCACCCACGTTATACACTGACACTGAGACAGATTCAATCCATGTTTACAATACCACAGCACAACCAACTTTGAGGAATATTGGTTAATAGAAATCAAATTGATTTAGGATCATGGTAAGGCAGCCACTTTTCTAAAGACAAAACTCCATTTGGATACATTGGCCAGAATTCTGTTTTTTTTAACACTGATATAATCCAATCAGCGTAATGGAATTTATCCAATTCCGTTATGCTGACAGATATAATTTAATAAATTCTGACCATTTCCTCCACATACCCTGAAAATAAGCCCTAACCTGAAAATAAGCCCTAGTAGCATTTTTCAGGATGCTCATAATATAAGCCCTACCCCAAAATTAAGCCCTGGTTAAGTGAAACCCTGCCCTCCACCATTGTGCAGCAACCAGAAGAAGATGACATGCCTGTATTTCACTAATTCTAGATTGTTGTACATGAAAACAACAAAACATCCCCTGCAAATAAGCCCTAATGTGTTTTGGGAGCGAAAATTAATATAAGACCCTGTCTTATTTTTGGGAAAACACGGTATGTACTATAAATAATGTGACAATGTGAATTCATCTTGATTTGCAGATGATAGGAGAATTCTCAATATGATTTAGCAATATTCTGATGTATGGTAATCTAGTCATGTGCCTATAGTAGGACACCAAATTTAATAGCTACATGATTATGATTAGGGTCCATAATGTTAACATTATACACTTCAGATAACAAACTAGCATAAGTGAATGATCCCTATCCTGAGGAAACTGCAGTGTAAATTTAAATACTGTGTGGTAGGAATACAACAGTACAGCAAAATAGAGAAGCAAACGGTAATAAAGCAGCAAAGATGTAAGAAAGGCAGATAATCAAATGAACAAATGGGGCGGGGGGGTAGAATGATGCACAAGCACTTAAATTTGGTTGAGGTTCAACATGATGCCCAAGACTTCATAAAAAGTTGTGGGTTCTAAGATGGCCTTTTTAAAAGAGAGAGGGAGAGGGAGAGAGAGAGAGAGAGAGAGAGAGAGAGAGAGAGATGGCATCACAGGTGATCTGGGGGAGGGTGTTTAAAATCTAGCATACACAAGAGAGAATAGGCAAAGTCACTAACACAGAGTACCCCCTAGAATTTCTCGCCAAAACCATACCATGGTGTGTTAAAACTCCTTTTCTGAAAAGAAAAAACCTCTCAGCTGAGCTACGAAGGATTCATTTACATCCACTGTACTCTTTTTATTTTATTTTGATTGTATTTTGCTTTTGGGGGGGGGAGCTTAACTCAAAAGGAATTCAATAAGTGTTACTCTTATGACATTGGCGTGCCAGATTTTTCCTTATCATAAGGCTTATTTTCAAACTCTGAAACTCTGGTGCCAGGGGGAAATGACAGAGTGAGAAGGGTGCCCTGATGCACAGCAGACCACCCAAAGATTTGATGCAGAAAGATTACTTTCCTTCCATATAGTTTTTTCCAAATCTTATTTGACATAGGAATAATAGAAGTTGGAAGTATTAAAAGAATGGAGACACAGTACCTTAAAGACAGACGTTTAGTTTTCTTCTCCTTTAAAGTTAGTACTGACTCTTCGTGTGGCATCAACGGTGCCTTCTTTTGTACAGGATGGCGTGGCAAAGGGATATCTGGAATGATGGGTGGCAAGAAGTGATGGCACATGGAAGTGGCAACTCTCCACCCAATGTATTGAGTAGAATGGAAATCTCTAGGACTTAGTAAGCTTTTGTCTTTGGATACGAGGAAGGGATCTGTTGGCCCTTGGGCCTCAACCTATGGGAGAGTGAGGAGAGACAAAAACAAGCATTTCACAATGCACAGCCTAAAACAAGGTAAGGACAGAAGCAAGCTTGGTTATAATCCATCTTCAGAGGGAATTATAAATATGGCAATCTCATGTTTATTTCCACTCTCCATACTTCACTTTGATTTACTAATCCTGCTATAGTCAGGAAATCTGCAAAGAAGGTTGTTAATAAGGTGGATAAAAATAAGGTGACTTTGGCATGTCTATCTCTGAAGCACAAACAGACCCTTTCTCGATTTCAAGCACTGATAATTGAAATGCTAATCGTATCATGCATTGTTTTCAAAATTGGTGGAAATGTTAAGGGATTTGGAACAATTCAACACTTTCACAAACAGGCATTTTCAAACCAATTAGGCCAGATCTGATATATATGCCATCAAACGCCAGGTGTAATTTTGACTTTAATAATTTTGCATAATTATATGGCACCTTAATAACAGTTTGTGCCAAAGGATTTGCACTCAGCAATGGCAAAATGTCATGTTTGCTGGTGTTGTGGTTGTGCAATAATTTGTACTTCCCATCCAATACAGTTTCGTGTTGGCACAGTATGTACTATGACCAAGCTATCTTTTTTTAGTTGTATTGTTTTATTTGTTTGAAATAAATAAATATATTCTACCTAAAATCTTGCATTGCAGAGTCAATTTATCTTTTCCTTCTTTCCATGTTGGTGAACTATGACCGCTCTCACTGAAATCTATGTTCACGCAGATTTGTGAACACATATCTCTTATGATGAGAGGCTACTTGATTTATTCAAAAGAAAGATGAGCTGAATGTAAAAAAAAAAATGCACAAGTAGGTCTACTTGCTCCACAGTGATTATAATGAATGAGGATGTCATTGGGAATATGTAAGACCACGTCTGTAGCAGAGTTCCTGTTCCTTGTGGGAGTGGGGGAAGGGAAGTTGGGAGATGATTGGCTAGTACTAAGTTTTTAGCTTAATTCACATGTGTGCTAACAGCTAAATCCAACATTCTATTTTATCGTTATTTCTTAAATTCTTTTTTTAAAAAACTTTATGAATGTGGGATATTGTGCTTCTGTATTCACAATTCAGAATGCTAGGAAATGGCACAATAATGATGTGCAATTTCATGCCTGCTTTGCCAGTAGGAAAAAGGATTCCAAACTTTACCTGGCAAAGGGCAGCCTAAATGTTGATGATACCAATGTCAGCAGTCAAGATAGTCTACAGAGTACACTCTTGTGCTCACTACCATTCACAAAGAGACACCAAGCAAGGGGAAATCCCAGAATCGGACTCCTTTTTTCATCAGTTAAGCACTTCTCATCCAAACACAAAGCAACTGTCAGAGCTGTTTTTCAACAAGTTATTGAGGTATTTATTGCTGGGGGAGAGAGAGATGCTCTGAACCTTTTTTTAAATTAAATAATTATACATAAAAAGCATAAGCAAAATCATCATCATCATCATCTAGTGCCATCAAGTCAAATCTGACTTATGCTGACCCTTTTCAGGGTTTTACAGGTAGAGAAAACTCAGAAGTGGTTTACTCTTCCCTTCTTCTGGGGCTGTCCTGGGACTGTGCAGTTTGCCCATGATTACACAGGCTGGCTCTACTCACAGGAGTGAATCAAACTTGCAACCTCTGGCTCCATAGCCAAATAGCTAAACCACTGAGAAACATACAACCCCCCAAAAAAACCAAGTAACACAATAAAACAAACAAACAGTTATACAAAATGTGCTCCTCCCACCTCACCTGGGCCATTTGTAAATATAACTGATTTCCCTCCCTTTGTGAAGGTCCGTTCCTTTTCCAAACTTGCATTAACTCTTGTGAAGGTACACATCCCTTCCCCTTTATTAAGACAAAATCTATAAATTCTCCCAATATTTATAAAATATCCTCATTTATAATTCCCTTTTTAATATTAACTTCCCCTTCACGGATTTCTGCCTTGTCGTGCCGAAGGGGCCCGAGTAATTCAGAGAAGCTATGGGCTATGCCGTGCAGGGACACCCAAGACAGACAGGTCGTAGTGGAGAGTTCTGACTAAACGTGATCCACCTGGAGCAGGAACTGACAAGCCACTCCAGTATCTTTGCCAAGAAAACTCCATGGACAGAAACAAAAGGCTAAAAGATATGATGCTGGAAGATGAGCCCTTCAGATCGGAAGGCGTCCAATATGCTACTGAGGAAGAGCAGAGGAAAAGTATGAGTAGCTCCAGAGCTAATGAAGTGATTGGGCCAAAGTCAAAAAGACGATCAGCTGCGGACACGCCTGGAAGTGAAAGTCCGATGCTGCAAAGAAAAATACTGCATAGGAACCTTGAATGTAAGATCTATGAACCTTGGGAAGCTGGAGGTGGTCAAACAAGAGATGGCAAGAATAAACATTGACATCCTGGGCATCAGTGAACTAAAATGGATGGGAATGAGCAAATTCAATTCAGACAATTATCATATCTACTATTGTGGGCAAGAATCCTGTAGAAGAAATGTGGTATGGTTCACAGTCAACAAAAGAGTGAGAAATGCTGTATTGGGATACAATCTCAAAAATGCTAGAATGATTTGAATACAAACCCAAGGCAGACCTTTCAACATCACAGTAATCCATGTTTATCCACCAACTACCGGTGCTGAAGAGGCTGAAATTGACCAATTCTATGAAGACTTACAACAACTTCTAGAACTGACGCCAAAGAAATATGTTCTTTTCATTATAGGGGACGCGAATACTAAAGTAGGGAGTCAAGCGATAAAAGGAACAACAGGTAAGTTTGGCCTTGGAGTTCAAAACAAAGCAGGGCAAAGGCTAATAGAGATTTGTCAAGAAAACAAGCTGGTCATCACAAACACTCTTTTACAACAACACAAGAGGCGACTCTACACATGGACATCAACAGATGGGCAATACCAAAATCAGATTGATTATGTTCTCTGCA